AATAATACATTATAATAAATAAATAAAAATAAAATTGAGGAATACAAATTCATTAGTTTAATTAACAGGACTTTTAAGAGTTAAAAAGTTTAGAATGGTCTATTGTGTTAAATAACCTGGCCCACATAGATCTTGTTGTTAGGCAGTTATGGAAGACATATGGAATGTATCCAACTTAAAATTTTGTCTTTACACACCAAAAGACCTTTCAGGGTGGTTTCAATTAAAATAAATTTGCCAGATTATCTGCAGTAGTGCTATTGCTGTGCTGCATATTTATAAAATCATACATAACTGGTGGAACACTAAAATATAGTTTTTAAAATGCAATTTATTGGAAAGAATTAGCATTTTGGCAAGCAGTTGTGAATTTATTTATTCTGACTGGGATTACAGGTTAGCCAAATATTTTTTCCTTTAAAAGCCATATTTATAACCAGTGTGCAGGCAGACAATAAGAGAAGAGCAAGCAATGTTGATTCCTTTGTGCTTTTAGAGATCTGCATTCTGCTTCACAGACCTACATCTCTATATGTACGAATGATGTGATCCAGTGCATAGCCAGGCTAAGTGTGGCCTCATTTGCCACTTGTATTTGCAGGTTTTGGTAATAGTGTACTTCCTCACATATGTGCCTTTTTGCTTTATGCCTTCTACAAAACTATGGTTGATCTGACATTTGAAATAGAATGAGGCCACACTTTTTTGAAAATACTGATATGACACTCAAGTGGAAATGGTGACTATCTGAGTATCAGCTTAAAGTGTTTAAGAATACTGTGCATTCTTTCAGGAGCACTTGGATAAGACAGATTAATCAGAAAAATGCAATTGACAATGCCCTTTGGGAGGAAGCTTTACAGGGAGCACTGCATGTGTGTGTATGATGTGAGCCATTTAACCACTGGATTTATTTTTCAACACTTGTCAGTTTAACTTTTCTTCAGCATGTTACTATAGCTCATAGAAAGTACAAATATATTTAGTCACAAACACCTTTGCATTTGTTTGGTTCATGTTCAAGAAGTGGATATTCAGCCATATAGTGTGAAATTGACTGGCTTGCTTTTTGTGTGGTAACTCATTACCCTTATGTAATCCTCTATCTTGTTTTGACAATTACACTGAAAGTGAGAAGGTGTATACTGTTATGAAGAGGAAATATGGTGCTAAAGAAGCCACTTCTACTGCTCTGTAGTTAGCAGCAACAATAGTTCCTTTTGTTGGTGGTCCTCTCAGTTTTCAGGAGGCAGAACAAAAGAGTCCAGTACTTGTGTTGATTGGTCTCCAGCATATATCAGGGACTACAGCATGGAAGTTGACAGCTCATCACATGCTACACATCCCTCTGGAGCCAGTGTTGAACTAATGCTCTGGCATGAATGTGAGGGTGCTCTGTGGGAAATTCTGGCTTTCAGATGAGATCAAAGTTCTCTGCAAGTTACAAAGTTTCAGAAAGCTGGAGGGTTCTTAATCCTGGTGCTCCAGCCAAACAGTAGTTTTGGCGTAACTACTTATTTAGCTGCAGTTTTATATGTTAACACTACCTCTTACTTTGTATATCAAATGCTGTGTGGGGCTATCTCTCCTTTTCTCTAGAGGTAGCTGAGTTTTATGTGTTTTTGTAAAGTGTGAACATCATCTATATTTTGTGGTACTTGTGTTCGTACAAACTATTTGAGACAAAATATACTAATAAGTAAAAATATTCAAAATGTTCCCACATTTGGCATTAATAGATTCTGACTTAGGCTTGTTTTCTGTTATAATGAACTCTACAGGTCCCGAACAATTTTAATGATTTCAAAGATAGCTGAATGCATTAAAATTTTTAGGAACTAATTACATCATTCATTATTATTATTTCAAGGAGAAGAAATAAACAACCTTTGTATTGTTCTTTTGCACAGTTATAAATAGATTAAAGTTTTCTGGTCTTGCTAAATGCTTGCATTGAAAATTTTTCAGTTAAAACAGATAGAATAAGTGGTTGTTGCTGCATGGTTTGCACAGTTATTACACAATAGATTTGCTTTGCTGAACTGACAAAAATATTAAAAAAAAAGCTATTTTCAAAATTTTCTGTAGAGAGGATATTTTTAAAGTAATAGCATTGCCTAAAATAACTATGTGTTGATTTAAAATTACATTACAAATAAAAGGACCGGGATGATCTTCCTCTCTTTTTCCCACGGACTAACCCTAGCCTAATCTTTTGTTCTTCCAAGGTATCCTTGCTTAGTCTGAGAATGTTTTTGTGGTACAAAATGCTGTGTTCGGTAAAGAACTCACCTCTCCGATTCAGCCGCGCTGTGTTCTGTTATCCTAGAGGTGGTGCTGTCTCCAAGGTAGCCGAGGGAAGGGGAGAGAAGGGAAAAGGAATTAACTGAATCTTGTGAATCCTAATCTATGTCCTGGGATAGATCAGAGTATACAGATGTAGGAAAATCAAATAAAGCCCACTGACGTGAAGAAAGTGAAGTTATGGGAGAGAAGGTCGGACTGGGAGACAATCTTACCAGTAGTGAGAGAAGATAAACAACTGTTGGGCTGTCTTTGAAGCAGTGCTTCATGGTGCTGTGTATAGAGAAGTGTTGCCAGCATAAAGACCATTGCAGTCACTGATCAGCAAATGCACTATTTTCCAACCTGAATGATTCTGTGGTTCTAGAGAGAGAACTCACTTGTTGTGCCTATGCGCGTGTTTCAGTTGTTCAAGACAAAGCAACTGTAGGATGAATATATAATTAATTATCCTACACAGTTCTAGAGTATGAGTGCAGACAGCACCTATGAGCCCTGCAGGAGATGGATTGAGTCCTCTTTAGGTATGTAGAGACAGTCTAAATCTTAGATCGTGTTTTGGGAGGATCCATAGTTCACATGATTTCTGTAACGTCTGCAAGACAGAAGGCACTTTGGTACCTCCACACTTCTGCACAGTTTACTTCAGCTCTAAATAGCATATGTTCATTGCTACTGCATGTAAATTTCTGCTTGCAGTACATGCTGTTCTTCTCTCTGGGGTGCTAAACGGACTGCCATTCATTTTGACATTCCGTTCAAACTACTTATGTATTTTTTAAAAAACCCTCTGTGGTCTTGCTTGCTGTAGCCTGATCTCTGTTTGCCTAGCACAGGCTGACACCCTTTCCATTTAGACATTGTCCTCATGCTTGTGAGAGAATTCTCCTTTACACCTCATTCCATTTGGAACAGTTTTCTGTGACTGCTTTTTGACTTTCGTGCTGTTTTCAGAGCATAGCTGAAAACACATGTTGGTTTTTCCATTACAGTTCCTCAAATTTTCACTTACCCTGCTGTTATTTAATTCTTAAGGTTTTACGATTAACATAACTGCATGGGGCATTTTTTAATTTTTGTATATAAAAGATGCAACACGAAGTGCAGTACCTCTGAGCCTTCTCTAGCATAGTTTCTATCAATGAAACTCTGTACATCGGGAGTTTGGTATTTTGAAATAATATATTGTTGCTGTCCTGGGTGACCTTTTTCTCTCAAGGTGGCATTTGCTTGTCTTGGCTCATTTGTAGTTTTGTTAAGCTACGCTAAAAAAGGGGAGGGGGGTGAAATCTGGCAGTTTTCCTCCTTTTTCTTAATGTGTTTGGTGCAAATAAGTTCATTCTGCTTATGTACTGACAGAAGGTTTGGAAAATTACAGGAGTAATATACGTTCACCTGACAATACAGACAAAGGGTTTTGATGGTGGATATTGCCAAAAGTGGAAAGGGATGAGAGAGTTTAAGTGGTTCCTAGTGCATAGAAGAGACTTGATCTGCCAGTTAGAAGACTTCACAAACAGTATTATTTTGTCATGCTAAATAGTAGGTGGAAAATTCGTTGAGGCTAAGCAAAAAATATTTTTGTGCATCCTTCCTTTGGACAGCTTGACCTTCTGTGGTTATTAAGGTAGGAAATCAGGAGATGCTTTGCGGCAGTTGTTTATTTCCTTTCCTCTATGCCTCATCATCTCCACTCAAGTGTGATTTTTTCCTTTTTTCCTTTTGGTACTGTTCCATAGCCCTGGTCAGAATATTGTTGCAAAAGAACAAGTTTTAATGTTCTCTTAAAATAATTGAAGTTTGTATGTTTCCACAGTTGCCCCAGCTACAGTTACTTGCATATGATTCATTAGGCTGTAACTCATGCTAGGCTCTTTCCCAGAGAATTAACCTATTAATATGGTGTAGTAACTGTGTTATGACCATAAACAAGTACTTGGATGTGACCCTTAAGCTATATCCTTTTGAAAGGGACAAACAGAAAATCTGAGCAACATTTAGATTAATGAAAAGTATGCTGTTCTAGAACATCCTCCAGTTTATCAAAACATGAGTGATGTAATTCATGGGTACTAACAGTACAATCATGTTAAATTGCATTAATAAGATCCACTTATGGATGATTTATTTACAGATAAAGATATCAGCAGATAGAGCAAAGTTGCAGGTGTAAGTAAAAAGTACTGAATTGATGATGGTTACATACGACTGTTCTCACGTGTCTCAGTGAAATGATTTTTCTTTCCTCAGCATAAATACCAGGGTGTAAGGTGGGAGGTTTGGCTCAAAATCTCAAGTACCTAAAAATGTCGAGTATGTAATATGTGCTGTGTATGTACAAATGTTCTTTTTATTTACAGGTATCTTGAACTGGTACTACTATGTGTCTATGCCAATGCCAGCATCCACATTCACTATTGCTGTAGGGTGCTGGCAGGAAGTTAAAGAGCAGTCCTTCGCAGCTGCTGTTCCAACAAACGTGGAGTTTTTCCTGCCATCTTCACAAGCTGATTTCAGGTTGGTGTTTACAATATTGTTGAAAAATAAGATATATGGGTAGATTTTCCATTTACTCTGTGGAATGTGAAAATGAGTCATATTAGCACAGGAATCAAAACAGAACTTGTTTAATCTGAACAGAAAAATCTTGACAGGAAAATAATTCCAAAGGCATTATTTCATGGGTATGGGTGCGGTTCTTTTTATGTCAAAACAAGCTGCTTGGTGAGCAACACGGTTCATAAATCCCACTGTCCTCTGGATTTGCACTCTGCATCCTGTGTCACTTAATGCCCTGCTGCAGCAATGTCAGGTCCTGTTCCATTTCTTGCAGTGCCTGGCTGTAAGATCTTTCATGTTACTAGATTCAGTCCATCTTGGATACCTGATGTCCCCTAATGCAATATTACCTACTCATTTGCTTTTTTCTTCTGGTCCAGTCCCATCATATCTTTAGAGCTGGCCTGTGCAGTCGCTTGCCTGGGATGATGTGTACCGACTGGGTGCATTACAGACCTGTTACAGTGGTCTCTTAAAATAGAATTGGACCAATGATGCTTTTAAATTAAAAAATACCCAGTGAGCTAGTACATGAGAGTGGCTACTTAGCTGTCTTTGACCAAATAAAGAGAAATGTAATTCTTTTGGTTACATCTATTCCTCCTTCCAATCTAGTCAAAACTTCTTACTGAGTGTAAATTATTACAGACTGGTGAATGAACAAAACATGCCTGAAAATGAGATTTGAAGCTAGAAAATCAGTCTCAGGAGAAATATCACTTATTTCAGGTATATTCACTATAGTTATCAGAAGTCTCAGACATGGCACTTGGTTTCCTCACATATTACTCTCAGCTGTTCAAATTCATAGAGTCATAGAATCACAGAACAACCCAGGTTGTAATGGACCTTGAAAGTTCATTTAGTCCAGTCCTTCGTGGGAAGAGGAGCTTAGGTGACGATACTTAGCATCCATTGGCCATGTGGCTTCTTGTGGAAAGAGAGGTCTTGTGCTCTTTGTAGATGCCCTTTAAGTACTGGAATACTGTGATGAGGTCCATTCCCTCAGTTCAGGAAGGATATTGAAGTGCTGGAGTGGGTCCAGAGAAGAGCAATGAGGCTGGTGAATGGACTCAAGCACAAGTGCTATGAGGAGAGGCTGAGGGAGATGGGGTTGTTTAACCTGGAGAAGAGGAGGCTCAGGGGGGACTTATCACCCTCTACAACTACCTGAAAGGAGGTTGGAGTCAGGTGGAGGTTGGTCTCTTCTCCCAGGCAACCAGCAGTAGGACAAGAGGGCACAGACTCAAGCTCTGCCAGGGGAGGTTTAGGTTACATATTAGGAAAAGATTTTTTACAGAAAGAGTAATCAGGCATTGGAATGGGCTGTCCAGGGAGGTGGTGGATTCACCATGCGTGGAGGTTTTCAAGGTGAGACTGGATGTGGCACTTAGTGCCATGGTCTAGTAACGACAGTAGGGTTGGACTGAATGATCCTTGAGGTCTCTTCCAACCTGGTTGATTCTATGATACTGTGATTCTATGATCCTTCTCCCTCTCCTCGTTTTAGTTATACATGCCTATGTTTATAGGTTTGATAAACTTCTAGAAATTGTTTTGTGTTTATTTCTTTGCTATTTATATGTTTATAATGTGATTTCCTCTACAGAAATATGCTGTAGATGTACTCTGCATATTCCCCCCTAATGTACAGCACATTCTGTAATAGGAATTTTTATTGATTTGGTGCAAAAGATTATTCTGACCCAGTGTTGATAGAATAAATATAAGTTTCCACTTTTTGTCAAACTTCTGAAAAAAAAGGAAATATTTTTGTAACTTTTTGTAGCAAAAGTAGGTCCAACTTTCAGTCAGTGTGGTGGTCATTGTTATGAGTTGATCTGTGTGATGGTTATTGGATGAGTTCATTGGCACATATGGTATGATGTGTCTGCAGCAGTTGAGTTAGGGACAGTGGAAGAAACAGAACTAACGTGTCTTGCGAAAAAAATTACCAAGAAAATTCCAAAAGTCCCTTGCAATTGTGATGTCTATTATGCATAGACAAAAAAAAGGAGAGCCCAAGTGTGCTAGGTTGTTTTGCAGCTAATTAGGTCATAAAAATCCATATCCTCAAAAATATGCTCTTGCAGTAATATCCAGTTAATCTTTACTTGGGGGTTAGCACAACAGAGAGTGTCACTTGTTTTATTCATTAAGACTAGGTAAGCAAACCAACATTATGGACAGTGTCAGACATTTCGAGAAAGGATGTGAAATGCACAGACAAGCAAATGTTAAGCCTGTGTCTCAGATAAGATAATGGAGATAAACTCCAGGGCAGGAAGGAAAGCTGTTGAAATGTGTAATGTAATTTGTATCCAGTTGCCAGTGAGTTTGACATAAGGAGACTGTATCGAAGTAAATGTTAAATGGAGCAACGGTGTTTATAACGTTCTTATCTGCTTGTGGTCATTAAAGACTTGGCAATTTTCACAAGAGATAGGGTGCTAGCTTTCATGTTCCTGCCTAATCACAGCTCTGATAATCAAATACAAAGTGACATTGTTTTAGAGCAGAAATATACTGGGTTAGACCACGCTTGGAAAAAAAGTTGTGTAGAGGTGGATGTGGTTTCATTGCATATGTAATCAATGAAAGGGCTCAGAGACCACTTTCTTTGACAGAAAGACTTACGTAAGGTGCTTCAGTAAAATCTCAACATTTTCTACATGGTATCATTTTATTTTCTGCGTCAGCACTCACCTGGAGCATGATTTCCCAAGTATAAATGCTTTGTGCAATACTCAGTGCTTTGCCTGTCCAGGCATAGTAGAACCAGTTTCCTTAAATTGAAATTTTAAACCAAGGAGAGGCTCTGCACTATGCAGAAGACAGGCTAACAGGTGAAAACATGAAGCAGATTTCTGTTGAGATATGAGTCTATTTGGGCAGATAACTTATTGTGAAGGTATGACTCAGTGTTTAGGAAGGATTTGATTTACCCCTCCTTTCTTCCAGGTACAGCTATGAATAGCCTATAAAAGTAATGTAAAGTAAGCTTGAGCCTAATGTAATACTTTTTAATGTCTACCATGATAAGCCTGAATTGTTAACTACTGTTGGTTTTTACTTTAGAAAAAAAATCAGTAAAAGTTTCTGGAGAATTTTAGTAAAAACAACAGAAAAATTGCCCCTTGGAAATTCATTCTAATAGCACCTACTGTTTGTGTTAACATATGTTAATATGTATAGAATTTTAGTTTCATAATCAAGTTTGAATAGGAATTTTCTGAATAAATATTTTTGGATTGTTGTTAGTTTTCTTTACACATAGAACACTCTTTGATGCATGTCTATTATAAAAACAAGGTTTGACTAGTCTCTTTTTTCAGTTGTGACTAACAGGGATGTATTTCACCATGCTGCACATGTGTGAACAGTGTGAGAATACAAGTGAGGTGGCTTTGTGCCAATTAACTCTGTCATTCTGATGTCTAGAGAAGAGCACAGTCAGTTGTGCACGTTTCTGATACCACATTAAACTTTTTTTTTTTTTTTTTTTTGTTATTGTCAGATGGCATGAAGAAATCTGTGGTCATGTGGAATATCCCTGCCGGTTCCAAAATCCTGCTGCCAGGTTGCAGGCAGTCATTCCTTATAGAGTCTTTGCTCCCTGGTGCCTTATGGAACTCTGTGAAGAGTGTTTGCTTCCACTGATTCCGAAGTGCCTCTCAGCTGCTTACACCACGCTGGGTACCCACCCCTTTTCCAGGCTTGATGTTTTGATAGTTCCTTCCAACTTTTCCAGCCTGGGAATGGCTAGGTAAAGAAACTTCTTGATATTTCATCTTCTGTATTTTCTTAGGCTCCTTTTCATCAGCTAGTTAACAGTGTCAAGTTGCTGTCAATATAAAGTTTCTGTGCTGTTTTTCTTAAACCAAATTTAAAACTCTTTCTGACTTTGTGTGAGTAAGTTTGTTTGCATCCTTCTTGATCTTTAATTTTAGTTTTAACAGGGCTCAGGGAAGGAAACTATGAGCTTATTAGACATGGGGGTCTGAATTTCATCATTTGCCAAAGCGAAGTTCTTTTATTGGTTCTATTGATTTAAATACTTGATGCTGCCGTGATTTTGTCTTGTTTTCTTTTGGCATTGATTTTACCTTTATGTTTTGACAGAACAAAAGCATGTTAAAATCTAGATTTAGAGTTCATTCATAAGCCTTTTGTGATTTAAAATTTTCTAGTCATACACTGATCTTCAGAAGAGGAGTGTGGCAAACTGTAAAAATTACAGTATCAAGTTTTCATGGAATTGTGAAGAATAATAAGCTTAATAAAATGATTTTGGTTTTACAGTATAATTTCCAGTTGTGCGAGGACAATAGAGTTTTATCTCTGTGAGCTGTAAAGCAAAGCCTAGCAACTGAAACTTCCCGTTCACTTTTTATTATTTCTTTAAAAAATGTATATTCAAGTTGGTAATGAGATAATGTTTGATAATAGCAGAGAATGAAACACTATTTTGTTCACTGTTTGCCTAGTTCCAGTAGTAGAGTAGATTCCTTTTTGCAGATAGACAAAACATCAAAGGGAAGAAATAAAGGCAAAGCTCTCTTAGAAAGATGAGGACTGAAAGGAAACCTATATTCGCAGACTGTTGGGTTTGTATTTTGGAGCTCTTGGGTCAGTTGTTGAGTAGGTTTGATATCCAAAGCAGATATACATTAATTGCCACTTCAGGTGCATAGATGAACAAGAATCACAGAACCACAGAATGGTTTGGTTTGAAAGGGACCTTAAAGATCATACAGTTCCAACCCCCACATCATGAGCAGGGACACCTTCAAGTAGACCAGGTTGCTCAGAGCTCCATCCAGCCTGGCCTTGAATAGTTCCAGGGATGATGAGTCTACATGTTGGGCTTCACACTCACCAGTGTCCCCAAGCCCTTCTCCTCAGGCCTGCTCTCAATTCATTCTCCACCCAGCTGTGTGTGTGCTTGGGAGTACCCTGATCCAGATGCTGGACCTTGCATTTGGTCTTGTTGAACTTCATGAGGTTGACATCAGCTCACCTCTCAAGCCTGTCAGAGTTCCTCTGGATGGCATCTTTTTCCTCCAGCATGTTGACTGCCTCAGGCAGCTTGGTGTCATCACTGAATTTGCTGAGGGTGCACTTGATCCCACTGTCCATGTCACCAGCAAAGATTTTTGTGCCGCTCCCAATACCAACCCTTGAAGAATGCCACTTGTCACAGGTCTTTGCTTGGACATCAGACTGTTCGCTGCGACTTTATGAGTGCGACCATCCAACCAATTCCTTATCCACCAAGTGGTCTATCTGTCAAATCTATGTCTTTCCAGTTTAGAGACAAGGATGTTGTGTGGGACAGTCTCCAATGCTTTGCATATGTCCAGATAAATGGCGTCAGTTTTTCTTCCCCAATCCACCCCTGCAGAGAAGGCCACCAAATTTGTCCGGCGTGATTGCCCTTAGTGAAGCCATGTTGGCTGTCACCAGTCACCCTATTTTTGATGTGCCTGTGCATTGTTTCCAAGAGGATCTGCTCCATGATCTTGCTGGATCTTGAGGTAAGACTGACTTGCCTCTAGTTCCCTGGATCTTACTTTTACACCTCTTTAAACATAGGGGTTACATTTCATCTTTTCCAGTCTGTGGGAACTTCACTGATGCCAATAAGATCATGGCCCTGCAGGCATGTGTACATTTCTAACTCCTCTTGTTTATTCCCCATGCTGCGTGTATTAGTATAGAGGCTTATAAGTTGGTCCTCAGCTGGATTGGCTGAATTCCTTTGTGGTGCCCTTCCAGTGCTTTTGTGCTAACCTATGATCTCTGTCCAGGCTCTGGGCATCTCTCACTGGCACTGAGATGAGTGGCACAAACTGGTATGAGTGGGATGGATTGAGGTTCCCCTCCCATAGCAACTTTAGTTTCATCTGCTTGGAAAGCCTATGATTGAAGATACTCTTCCAATTCTCTAATAGATGTACCCCATCAGCCCCCAGTAGACCAGGTTTCTCAAAGTGAGTCCCATTGTTTAAGTACCCAAATCTCTGGCTGTGGCACCAGTCCTGTGATCTTTTGTTGATTTGCCAGATTCAACTTGCCCTTTCAAGCAGTAGAAGTTTTTTCCTACAGCTTTCTTCTTTCAATTCTCCTTTGGGTTAACAGTAGAAAATTATGCTGGCACATAACAGTATTGTGTAGTTTTAAGTATAAATTCACTTGCTTTTTTTACTTTATGAAGATCTAGAAAATGTAAAACTTAATCATTCAGTGACTCTTCTCGGTCATTGCTTTGTAGATAATCTTTTACCGGTTGATGAGTTTTCAGTGATAGTTCTTTGCTCCATGCTCCATCAGCTGGCTTTGGTCACCAATCACAGATTATATTCTCTGGTGCTTTGCATAGTGGTTTGATTTGGAGTCAAGTGTGGTGTTGTGTACTATGTTCTTGAAGCCATATGAAATTTGTAGGGCTGCTTAGCAATCTTACCTGACTTCAAAGGCATAGTACGAAAGAGTTGACACAGGTCTTTATGGATCATTGCTGTAATTGAGGAAGAAATGGGCCATTTTACCTAACTGTGTGTTAAGAACAGTGATCTGTGGAACCTTGAAGGGCAAGACACATATAGTACAAAATGAAAGAGGAAGGGGAAAGATACATCTGAGCCAAAATCACAGCACACAATAGGAGAAATCTTCAAAATTCAGTTGTTGATACGCTACTGCTCTTTGGGAAGTTGTCAGTGCTTTCCCTGCATGTACCTTTCCAGAACTTACATGGAAAAGATGCCTGCAGGGTATTCTGTTGCAAAACTATCTGTGGTTATCTGAGTCCTGACTGTGTGTTTGGAATACTATAATTGTACTTTCTTTATGAAGGAGATGAGAAAAACCTATGCTTTTATTCTGTTTTGCTGCTTCTAACCTCTGTCTGTTCCAAGCGATCCATATCGTTGAATAGAAGTAAAGGATGAAAGAATGGGCATGCACAATTCATGACGCTTTTCATTCAAGAATTCATCTAGCCAAACACATTCAAATTTTTCAAAATTTAAATAATCTAAGAAATAATTTAAGCTGTTTATATGTCAAGCTGTATTTGTCCAGGAGATAATCATAATAGCCTGTTTGTTCTTGTTTTCTGTGGCTTTTCAAATAAAGGGTTCTATGTATATAGCAAGCTACTTAAATGGTTAAATCCTGTGCATGCTATGATAATTGCCTAAATGACTTCAGTTAACAATAAGCTATGTGCAAAACCATGTCCAAACCCACATAAAGAAGAAAAGTTAGCTATTCCCTTGGGTTAAGAAGGGTGCTGTATATTTATTTTTTTATCTTGTAGTCTATCTGTAACAGCATAAACATAACACAGCATACCAGCACAAAGGAGCTGTTGTTTTGAGAATTCTAATTGTACTTCTGTCTGTTAGGGAAGGAAGCAGTCATAAATTTTAGTCATTATCTAAAGTATCAAGGCCTTACAGCATTTGGCACTTTTCTTTGTCTGTTCCTCATTAGCTGATACTTACTGTGCTTTCCATATCCCAAAATACTTCCTTATATTTATGAGGGATGTTTCCCCAACATTTTAGACTGGTATGAAACAATGATAGCTCTTGCACAGAGTGACCTAATTAGGCATTTTAAGCTGTCTATTTCAATGATTGCTAATGTGGGTCAGCTGCATTACTCTTGAAGTCTGGCAGATGCTTCATGAGAAAAACTGTAGTTGAAAGCATATTCATATTACCTGTGCTTTCTGTGCATACGTTCATGTGTTTTTTAGTTTGCTATGGGCTTCTGTATGAAAATGGGATCTTGCCTGTATATAATAATTGCAGTCATCCTCTCTTGCTTCCTGCAGATCTTTGAAGCTGGAGGACTTAGTTTTGCGCTTTGTCTTGGTTTTATACTGTTTTATTTCAAGCGATTCAGTATGACTTCTCCTAAATTCATGCTTGTAAAACCAGGATGTGGCCTACATGTCTTTGTTGATGATACAGTGTTAAACTGTACATAAATTAATAAAGCACTGTGGACCAAATTTAAATAGCTTAAAAGTCAGAGGTTCAATGCTTTCTGTAGAATGTTGAGAGGCTTGTGAAAACCTAACAGCACTTAATTATCCAGTTTCAGTAGCAGAAGGGAGTGAATTGTATTAAAAAGCATAGGGAAATGTGTCAGACTGCAAGGCCCTAGAACTGCTGATTGGTTTATTCACAGAAGATGTCCCTGGCCTCACACTACACTGAAAGGTGTGCATTGTTTATGTACTGAGAGAACTAAGAGGTTAAAATCAGGAGATTAAAAGTAGCACCATGTTTTGATGCTGTTGATGATGATATGCTACTCCCTGAGGAATTGTCAACCCCACTGGCATTTAAATATTAGAGATATTTCACAGTTGCACATGCTCTCATATGAGCCAATAGTTACTCATGTGAACAAAGCTGAATGAAAGACTTCAGATTAAAAACAGGGTCTGTGTGTCCCGAGCTTGTTTGTGCTCTTCGATCAGTTCATTCCCAGTCCAGTTTTGCTGATCACTTTTGAAAACCGAATGTTGTGAAATCTCTTCCCACTGACCTACAACTTAATTTCCTTTCCTTTTGTCAGAACCTGAAGAGACTCTGAATTCTGTGTTGTTTTTCATTCCCTGAGGAAAAACATTCTTTCAAATACAGAAACTTTTGATGCCACCTGAGCCTGTACTTGAGACTTTGACTTCTCTTGCAGTGTTTAATTGCGTAAGTCCTTTCAACAATCACGTCAATCTCTGTGGCA